TCTCTCCTGGCTCCACCCCGATTCTCAAAAGTTCCTTTCCTGTTCCCTCCCCTCCATAAGGTCCCATCACTTTCCTCAGAATGTGTTGTCTTCCTCCATTAGAATGTAAACTCCTTGAGAATAGGAACTGTCTTTCTACTTTTATTTGTAGTGACTAGAACAGTGTCCACCACATAACAAGCACTTAATAAATGCTTTATATAACTATCTAATACTGGAACTAATGGATATAAATTATAGGAAGATCTCAGTTCAGTACAAGAAAGACCCTCCTAATAAAGCAGAGCTGTCTCAGAATAGAATGGGCTATTTCATAACCTCAAGTACTTAGAGGCTGGGTCACCTTGTGATAGAGAAGATTCATGTATCGGATTGAAATAGACTAGATGAACTATGGGTAGCTAGTGTGCAGTGATTAGAGTGCTAGGCCTGGAAGCAGGAAGACTCATCTTCCTGAGTTCAAATCTGGCCTCAGACATTTACTGGGCAAGTCATTTAACTCTGTTTGCCTCAGTTTCCTCATCTATAAAATGAGCAAGAGAAGGAAATGGCAAACCACTCCATTATCTTTGCCAAGAAAACTGCAGATGGGGTCATGAATAGTTGGAAATGACTGAAATGACCAATCAACAAAGATAAACTCTAAGGTCTCTTCAAATTCCAAGATTTGAGTCCACTTGGTGTCATGGAAAGACTATTGGACACTGAGTCAGAATACCAGGATTCATGTCCTTGCCACTTACTATTTATGACTTAGACTACATTACTTAGACTTTCATACTCAGGGTAAATAAACTTGTAGTACCTACCTTCATAGATTATAAGGATTGAATGAGATAATCAAAACATTTTGTAAACCTTAAAGTGATATGTAAATGTCAGCTATTATGATCTTACAGAATATTAAATGACATCTTTTTTTAGTTAGATGTGAAGAGACTCACAAATGTAATCTGGGCAGGTGTAGAAGAGGGCACCAACTACTTTTTTTCCCCATATTCCCCTTTCTCTCTTTCTGTCTTTGTAAATGACCATAGACCTAGATCTTGAAGTGATCTCAGAGGCTATCTCTAACCCTCTCATTTTACAGCTGAAGAAAGTGAAGACCAAGGAGGTCAAATGATTTGCCATAGGTCACTGAGTAGAAAAGGATAGAGGTGAGATTTGAACCCTAGTCTGCTGAAGATAGATTGAAGATTCTTTCCATTATATCACGCTCCTAGACCTTTTTTACTGTAAGAAGAAATGCCCTCTAATAAGCAAGGCCAGCGTGACTCAGGAGATGTAGGAAACAACTATAACACCAGCATGCTCTTAGTTCAGGTTTGATGTTGGGACAAAAAATGGCACTTGTGTGTCATTGAACAGTTAACAAAAGGAGGTTCACTTTGCCCAAACATGATAAAGATATGCAACAAGGATATAAGGATGGTATTTGGCTTCTCTGATATGGTCCTCTTCATCTCCAGATAGAAATATGCCTTATGGGCACAGCTAGATGGTGCAGTGGATAGAGCACTGGCTCTGGATTCAGGAAGACCTGAGTTCAAATGTGACCTCAGACACTTGACACTTAACTAGCTGTTGTGACCCTGGGCAAGTCACTTCACCCCACTGCCTTGCCAAATAAAAAAGAAAAGAAATATGCCTCATTATCAGGGCAGGATATAGGGGAAAACATAGTGATTAATGTCTTCAGAATGGTTTTCAGAAATGTCCCAAGCTCGAGGGACCCTGGCAGCACGTAAGTGGGACTTATGCCCCTAGGTGACAAGGAAGCTGTGTCGGTGAAACAGAAGCCAATCAGTTCCTGGTACAACTTTGTCTCCTTTTAGAGAAAACTAGTGCCTGTGGTAGGAGGTACGGAGGACAGGTGGGCCTAACTCATTTTGTTAGGACCATGGGTAAAAGATATCCTTTCATAGGGGGCCAAGATGTTTGCCCATCTCTGCATCTAAAGGGTATGAAAATGGATTGTTGTATAGAGGCCTAGAAAGCACCGTGATTGAGCCAGTGGGAGATGCTAGTTACTTTTTTAGGATATATTTTCTTCTCTTGCTAACAGTCAACCTGGATATCCTATAATCTCCTTGTCACCTGTATATGACAGGTAGCATGTAGGTTCCTTAGGACTGTGACTAAATAAAAATGAACATTTAACCCTGAGGCAACTAATTTCTGATCCTGGAGGGATAGAAACAAGAAACGTTCAAATTACAAAAGAAAAAGCAGGCCCCAAAGAAGATATGAGAATGTACCTCTCTCCCCACTCCTTTGCAGAGATTGAGAACATTTCATATATGCACATATCGTCAAGACTTTTTTCTTTGTATTGGTTTTTGCTGATTTTTGTATTCCTCTTTTTCTTTAAAAAAAAATTTGTTATAAAGAGGAAAATTAGATTAGATGGCTTCTGAGATCACTTCAAGATCTAGATCTATGGTCCTTAAAAAAAAAAGGGGGAGTGGGGGAGATGGAACGTGATGTAAAAACAAAAGATATGAGTAAATTTTTTAAAATTTCCCTCGTGGTTAGACTTAACTGCCCAGCAGAAAGTCTTAACTTGCAGAGATTGGTCTGATACGGAATGATGAACAAGAACAATATAGATGACCTAAAAAATTTCATGGCCTACTTGACCTGGGAGGGAGGCTGCACTCAAATCAACACAAAACTACTATATCTTTGTGCACAAAAGTGTTTAAAGATATCATAGAGTGTAAGCAGAGGAATCTTGAATGAGTAGATGCCTAACTGGGAGGTATAAACTGAAATGAAATTCTATCATTACTAGGCCATCTGTGTGTTCTAATTGAAGGGGGTGGGGAAAGCTGATGGAGTAAAGAGTAAAGGAGAATATCTACAGAGCACATTCTCTTGAAATGACATCCTGAGTAAGCCAGACCATGGATATACACCAGTTTCTGGAGAGTAGAAGGGGTGACAAAATAGCATTTTCCGGTCTAAATGTGGGGAAGCCAAGTTTGCTCCCATTGAGACTTTGGAGTCCAGCTGCTGGATCAGGTGACTGGTTCAGAAACAAATCAATCCTCCCAACATTTGCATCTCTCCTTTTCTTCTTCCTCTCCATGCAGGCAGGGAGCTGTGTGGGCAGCACTCATGCTTTCATTGTGTGGTGTGCCCTTGCACGCAATACAGGCTTTATTCAGTATAAGCCTTTTCTCTGTTAGGAAGAGAAAGGCCGCAGTGAGGGGTCAGACGAACAGCAGTCACAGAGAGGCAAATGAAAATACAAGTACAGAGTCTTAGTTACTGGAAAGGACCTGAACTATATGACTTCACCCTTCCATTTCACATATGGGGAAGCCAAGGCCAGAGAAAGTATGTGACCTACCGAACTTGCACACATCGCTAATGGAAGTACTTGAACTTGACTCGTCTTGCCATCTTCCTTTAAAACTCCCATGCCATCTTTTGTAGGATTGGGAGTCAGTAGGCTCATAGATCTTCAGCTATCAGGGGCCGTGAAAGCTGTCTAATCCAGACTCCTCAAGAATTTGAGGCCCAGCCAGGATAAAATGACTTATTTTAGGTTGTTGAGTTGTTTTTCAGTCAAGTCTGACTCACCACCCCATTTGGGGTTTTCATGGCAAAGATACCAGAGTGTTTTGCCATTTCTTTCTCCAGATCATTTTACAGATGAGAAACAGAGGCAAACAAGGTTAAGTGACTTGCCCAGGGTCACACAGCTAGTAAGTGTCTCAGGCTGGATGTGAACTCATTAAGAGAATCTTCCTGACTCCACACCTGGCACTCTATCCACTGCAACACCTAGCTGAGTCAGGATCTAGACCCATTTTTTTTTGTCAGTTGGGGTTAAGTGACTTGCCCAGGATCACACAGCTAGTGAGTGTCAAGTGTTTGGTCTGAGGCCAGATTTGAACTCGGGTCCTCCTGACTTCAGGGCCGGGACTCTATCCACTGTGCCAACTAGCTGCCCCAACCCAAGTCTTTTGACTCCAAAGCTACACCGTAGTTTTGAGTTCCTTTGGATTCATCCTCTTATTTTGGGATGTTATTCAAATCTCATTTTCCCTCTGCCTCGGTTGCTTCACTTCTAAAAGAGGTAGGCACTTGGTTTAATTTATTAAAATATCATCATGAAAAATATGGCCAACCTAGGAGGGAAAGCGTTTTGTAGGCAATAGGGTAGAAGGAGATAGTTGAATAGATAAGGAACATTTGATCTCTTATATTTCTTCTCTCTGAGTGTAGAAAGATTGTCCTGGGCAAGCAGCTGATGGGGATCAGGGAGGAAGAAAGGAATCTGAAAGCTGAAAGAGAAGTAAAAGTTGAGATTTTTTTTATTGATTTTTTTTATTTTTAACAAAAATTTCTCAAACACCTGTAAGATTTACGTCAGAAAAAAACAATGTGGAACTAAATATTAAAATACACTATCTTCCCCACCCCACGACAGTATTCATAAAACACTAAATGAAAGCAGTGCTCTGACCTGTATCATCAAAAAACTGTGAAATTATTCCAGGCCAGATCCTCATCTGCTTCTTCTAGGCAGGGGTTTCATTTGGAGCGCCTCACTCGCCTACCTTTATGTAAATGCTGTGTGTTTAGGACGCCCACTGTAGAAGTAAAGGCAAGTCTTGCCTTTGTTTTGTCATTGGGAGAAGCTGTGTTTGCAAGTGACAATCCTCTGTCCTAAAGTTTTGTCTCCTAGTGTCCATAAGTTTGGCTTTTCTTATACTTGTGTTATTCTTTTGGGGAATATTCAAGACATCAAGATTCCCCAAGTGTACAAACTATTCAGGAGAAATAAATTAGGTCACTTTGGAAACCAATTTAACACTTTCAGGATACTAATATTCATGCAGTATGCCACTATTAGAGCTGTCCTGAATGTGAAAGAAGAAACTAGGGGAATATGATTTTGGATATTATATGGTACGATACCAATCTGTACCAATGCTAGTCATTTAGATGGGAGTCTTCCATCTTTTTAGGGGTGGAGTTGGGGTATATAAGAGCTATTTTTTTTCCTTTCATTAAAGCCTTAGAATCTCTTGGGGAGGTAATAAGGATGTCAATGGGTGTCTTTAAGTGGAGTGAGGAGAGTGTCTGCAGAAAGCTTTAGGAATAGGAATGAGTTGCCAGCCTTTGGCCACATTCCTTTCCTGCCCCCCTCCCCAAGCCCACTATTCCATAGGATGAGAAGAGGGAAATATGGTGACATCAGGTGCTCTACAATTTACCAGTTCCTGTGATCAACCACTAGATTGTGATCGACTTGCCCCAGGGAAAAAATATATATACGTTGCTCTCCTAATGCTAGGCTGGTTGTAAATTGGCATCGTATCCCTTCTATGACCCAAATCATCTAGTTGGAGATTCCGATTCAGATGTTGCACATGTCTTGGTAGCAGCATTGGGTGAGATGAATGGTATTGCTGATTATTCTCTTTGAATGGCATATTTCTTTGGGAGTAGTACAGCCTTTGACTGAGAACCACTCCACACCACCTGCAGAAATCAGAAGAGGGGACGTGTGTTTGGGGAGGGAAGTGTTCCATTAGAGACCTTACATACACAGGTGCTTCAGAATCCTGCTGCAAGTGAAAGCCCTTTACGCTACGTCAACCAGATCTCCATCTGGAGTTTGTAAAATGAGGGTGTATTCTGGTTTTTTTTGGTGAGGCAGTTGGGGTTAAGTGACTTGCCCAGGGTCACACAGCTAGTAAGTATCAAGTGTCTGAGGTCACATTTGAACTCAGGTCCTTCTGACTCCAAGGCTGGAGCTCTATCCACTGCACCACCTAGCTGCCCTGGATGTATTTTTCCCCTTTAAAGCCTCTCACTGATGATGATGATGATGACGACGATGTTGACTACCATGATGACTGTTATTATCATTAAGTGCTTATTATGTGTTAGGTACTGTGCTGAGTGCTGGGGATACTATGAAAGTGTATTCTGTATATTCCAATATAATGGAATTGAGTTTTTTTTCCACAAAAGAACCCAAAACACCACTTTCTTTGGTGTTGTGTCAATTGTGTCCAACTCTCTGTGACCCCATTTGGGCTTTTCTTGGCAATGATATTGGAGTGGTTTCAGACTGCATACATTCTATTGTCTCAATAATAAGTTTACAAAGCACTTTCTTCATAACAACCTTGTAATATAGGTAGCACATGATTATCCCTGCTTGACAGTTAAGGATACTGAGGCTCAGAGAAAGTAAGTGCCTTGAATCACAAATGTAGTTGATGTCAGACTCAGGACCATGTCTTCTGACTTTTGAGTTCCGTGCTCTTACCCCTGCATCCTGCTTTTTGTCATGCATATATCAGGGTCTCTTTCTAGGCTTCTTCCTAATCATATCCTGCTACTGGGTACAGCATAGTGCAATGGAAAAAGCGCTGGACTTCACTTTAAATCCTAGCTCACTTATTACCTGTGTAACTTTGGGCAGAAAATTTGAGTTTTCAAAGGTTTTGTTCCCTCATCTGTAAAATGAAGGTGCCGGGCCACCTCCCTCACATGTATGTATATATTTTCACAGATACATGGTTATGCCCCTGATGTACACATGTGCATCTTTATACATTTATCTGTGACACATCCAAATAGACATCCCTGCACACATCTGGTCTACATTTCTAGAATATACTTACTAGAGAAGCGGTTTGGAAAAAAGATCTTCAAGGCACTACTAGAATATTGAAAAGGCAAATGGAGAGAAATGCATGATTTTATCAACAGACTCAGAAAGACTCTGTGGGAGGTATTTACTGTGTGTACACGGGGAGGCACACTGTGAAGAGATAGAACAAATTTACTTGCCCTTAACTCAGCTGGGAGTAAGAGTTGTAAGAAGGGGGAAAAAAAAGTTCACGACTTTCTGAATTGTACTTTTGACCAGTAGAAATACAATGCTGAATGTGTGTTAATTGGCCCTGAGACATGTGGCCTAGGTCTTCTCTACCTGATAGGAACAACTTTTCTTCAAAGCAAAGGCATTGGTTGCTGGGGGGTTAAGGGGGAAAAGGAAAGAGAGAGAGAGAAAAAAAAGGAGGAGAAGAAGGAGAAAGGAGAGAAGGGAAAGGAGGAAGAGACTTGGGGAGAGGATATTTTGGTAAAAAATTTTTAATTAATTTTAAATAAAGCAAATAATCTATAGCCACATGAAAAAGTACTCTATTGATTGGAGAAATGAAAATTAAAATAATTCTGAGGTACTACTTTATACCTATTAGATTGGCTAATAGGACAGAGAGGGTAAATGACCAAAGTTGGAAGGGATGTAGGAAAAATGCACTGTTGGTGGAGTTGTGAGCTGATTCAACCATTCTGTAGAGCAATCTGGAACTTTGCCCAAAGTACTATAAAACCGTGCGTACCCTTTAACCTAGAAATACCACTACTAGGTCTACATCCCAAAAGAGATAAAAAACAAAAAGGAAAGGGACTTATATGTACAAAAATATTTATAGCAGCTCTTTTCTGGGGGCGAAGAATTAGAAATTGAGAGGATGCTCATCAATTGGGGAATGACTGAACAAGTTGTGTTATATGATTGTGATGGAATACTATTGTACTGTAAGAAATGATGAGCAGGATGCTGTCAGAAAAACCTGGAAAGACTTACATGAGCTGATGCAAAGTGAAATGTACTGTGTACAAAGTAACAGCAATATTGTAAGATGATCAGCTGTAAAAGACTTAGCTATTCTCAGCAATACAACAATCCAAGACAATTCTGAAAGACGTATGATGAAAAATGCTGTCCATTCCCCAGAAAAAGAACTGATGGTGTCTGAATACAGATTGAAGGCACCCTTTTTTTAAACTTTCTTTTTCTTGAGTTTTTTTTGGTGGAGGTCTACGTTTTCTTTCACAGCATGACTATTATGGATATGTTTTACATGACTACACATGTTTAACATTTACTGAACTGCTTGCCTTCTCAGTGAGGGGAGGTGGGGAGGGAGAAAGGGAGAGAATTTAGAACTCAAAAGTTTTTTAAAAAAGAATGTTAAAAATTGTTTTTACATGTAACTTGGGAAAAGTAAAAAAAAATTTTTTTTTTGCTTTTTGATGAGGCAGTTGGGGTTGAGTGACTTGCCCTGGGTCACATAGCTAGTGTCAAATATCTGAGGCTGGATTTAAACTCAGGTCTTCCTGACTCCAAGGCCAGAGCTCTATCCATTGCTCCACCTAGCTGCCCCTAAAAAATTTTAAAAATTAAGCAAATAGTGTCAATGAAACATTTTAAAAAAATATACAGAATATTCAGTAGGGGACATAGACCAGCAGGGCAGTATTTGTACTAACATGTTAATATGTACTTTTTTTTTTAATACTTTTTGATATGTGCTTTTGAAAGAGAAATATTCTATGTGTAATATTCACAGTTTCAGATATAATCTTCTTTTCCTTTGTAAATGAACATGGAAATGTTCATGCTTGTTGATATGTTTCAAGTTCAAGGTAAAAGAATAAGAATATTTAGGAAAGAAGTGGGGGAAGGGGAGAAATGTATGGGGATGATGACAGCCCCAATGTTCCATGAAAGCTGTGAAATAGAAGAGGACATAATGGAGAGCCTCTGGTACTTTGGTTAGATCTTCTGTGGGAGATATGAGGAAGAATATGGACAACTGCACCAGAGGAAAAAGCATACAGTGATGAGATCATCAAGATTCACTCAAGTAAATCCTTATCCCTGTTCTATGACAGTCCAATCCGATCCATTCCAAAAGAAAAAGAAAAACATTATGTGAATAATTCATGCTGATGTGTTCTTAGCAAATGATTGGTTTAGTGTATTGTCTCTTTTGAGGGTTATAACCAATTTGGCAGAAACTCTTAAAGCCAGACATTTTCTTAATACAAACACAGATTGTAAGTGGTGGGATTTCAGGCAACCTGAGAGGTTAAAGAGGAGGTATTTGTGGTTTGGGATACCTTTTCACCTTTCAGTCCACACCCTCTCAATTTAAGTCAGCACCTGAGCCATTATTGAAACTGATAGCTGAGCTAGTACCAGGAATGTATCCTCCACTTTGGAGACCACACTCAATGTCAGGCTTACCTTGCTCGTGGTACTCAACTTTACAATATTGACCTGGGTCGACTCTGCAGGTACCACCATCCAGAAGGCAGCCATGGAAGGGGAGTGAGAGATTGCAGTATCTGCATATTATTTCTGTGCCATCTACAAGCACAAGAAAGGAGGAAGGGGAAAGAGAGAAAAGACAAAGGAAGAACACAAGATGTTTAGATGATTCTCAGCATTTTTGAAATTCTTTTACAGCAGGCCCTTCTCCTTTCTCTTCAAAGACACATTATACTTTTTTTCCCACTTAACTTTTTTTTTCCCCGAGAAGTAGAAAATCATCAACAAATATATAAAGAAGACGGCTACATATGAAACCAAGAATCTATTACATAAAATTTTAAATATCTATTACATTTAATGTGGTAATACCAACATCGACTGTTTGTATATTCTAAACTTCCTCTGTGGTCTTCTGTGTATTTTAAAAATGTTTCAATGATAGTCTTTTCTTTTTTGTTTGTTTGTTTTGCTTCACTGTTCCCAACATTCTACAAGTATTTTCTCCCCAGTCAAAATAAAAGCCCTCCTTTGTAACAAATCAAGTCAAGTGAAACATCATGTCTGAAAATGACTCTGCCACTATAATCTATTGCCACTCCACAAGAAGTAGGAGGCATGCTTCATCATTTTCTAGTGATCATTTTCATGATCAATGAATCAATCAGAGATCTTAAGTCTTTCAAAGTTGTTTTTCTTTACAGTATCATGGTACTCCCAGTTCTGCTCACTTCACCATACGTCAGTTCATACAAGCCTCCCAAGGTTTCTTTGAATCTGCCATCCCTTCTATTATTTTTTGTGTTACAATAATATTCCATGACATTCATGTACCATAATTTACTCAGCCGTTACCCAGTTGATGGGTGCCCACTCTGTTTCCAGTTCTTTGCTGTACAAAAAGGCTGCTATAACTACTTTTGTACATATGCACCTTTGCCTGTGTCTTAGATCTGTTTGAAGTATATACCTGGTAGTGATATTGTAGTATCGATGGGTTAAAGGGAAAGCATTGTTTAGTGACCTTTTGTGTATAATTCCAAATTTCTTTTCAGAGTAGTTGGAGATTTCACAACTCTACCAAAAGCACAGTTAGTATTTCTTTGCTCCTGTAGTTGCTACAACAATTATCATTTTCTTTTTTTGTCATCTTTGCTTACCTGATGAATATGAGGTTGAACCTCAAAACTGCTTTAGCTTATATTTCTCTTATTATTATTAGGTAGCTAGGTGGTGCAGCAAATAGAGAACTTGACCTGGAGTCAGGAAGACCTGAATTCAAATCTAGCCTCAGACTAGTTGTGTGACCCTGGGCAAGTCATTTAACTTCTGTTTGCCTCAGTTTCTTTGTCTGTAAAATGAGCTGGAGAAGGAAATGGCAAATCACTCCAGTATCTTTGCCAAGAAAGCCCTAAATGGGGTCACAAAGAGTTGGACACAACTGAAACGACTGAACAACAAGAACAAAATTAAATCACATCATACCTTGTCATTTCACTGGTGGTGGTAGTGGAGTTGGAATACTTCTTGCTGCCACTTCCAAGATCTCCCTCTACCACCATCCTCCTTTGAGTTTCACTCAACCCATATTTACCACTTAATCAAAATTCTAGTATTCTAGTAGCTGTTATCAGCTAACCGCCAGAAGACTCCTCCTTCCTACCTCGATGAGTACGATGTCTGGCTCATCATCCTTCTTCCCACCCCTTTCCTGAATACTAGGAGACTTCAGCATACATATTGATACTCCCTCAAGTACCCTAACCTCCCAGTTTCTTAACTTATTTCCCACGACTTACTTCTCTACCCCACCTCAGCTGCACAGGGAGATGGTCATACCTTTTCTCCTGCCATCACCCCGAAATGTTCCACTTTAATATTCACGAATTTCAAATTTCCTTAAGCTAATCACAGACTGTTGTCATTCCACCCCTACCCTGCTCTTCATCTTCACCATGACCTCCAGTCTCTCACTCCTCAGTTCTTTCCCAGGCCATCACCCCAGCACTGGCTATACTCTTCTCCCTTCCTTATCTTGACCCTTAAGTGAACTAGTTCAGGATGAAAATATCTATAATGTGCTATGAAACCTAAACTTTACAAATGTCAATTATTATTATTCTAGCCCTTTGCCTAGACTATTGTAAGAACCTCCTAATAAGTGTTTCTGCCTCCACTCTCTTCAATCCGTTCTTCACACTGTTGCAAAATAATTTTTCTTATACATAGATCTGATCATATTCCTCTGTTTAGAAAATTTTAGTGGCTCCCCATTGCCTACAGGGTAAAGTTCAAACTCCAATGTATGGTATTCATTCAATGAGTGCGTTCAACTAAATTCAGTTAATAATATGATGCCCCCCTACTCTTCTAGACTAATTACACATTATTCCTGTCTAAGCACTCCATGCCCTAGTCAGACTGGTCTAATCTGTGTGCTCTGTTGACTTCTGATTTCATCTTTGAAAGTCCATGTCAAATGCTACCTCTTCCATGAAACTTTGACCTTTCTGGTAAATAATAAATTTCTGCTAAGTGGAGTCTGCCCTTTAAGGAACCTAAAGATTCTGCTCTCTTTATCTCCTGACACCTATGAAATTAGGGAAGGATCAAAAATCGCTTATTTACATGAAAGGCTTTTTCTTGGAATTTGACATGAGCTGTCAGGTAGGCTTTGTGGTAATAGTGAGGGAACTAAAATCACATGTCCCATGGTCTGCCCACCACCGTATTTTTCCTGTTATTCTTGGAAATATAAGCCAGGGACTAACTGTGAGTGTCAGGTTCTTGGTGAAGCTATTTCCATTGAAGGAATGTGTTTTGTATTGTAAATCATTTCTTCTAGGTTCAGGAGCCTGCCTGAGCATAGTCAGGGAAACTAAGGCCCCTCCAGACTTCCTGCCCCCTTCGTTTCCTTTCTTTATTTGAACATAGGTTAGGCCTCATTCCCATTTTCCCTAACCTTAACCCAAACCTAATAAGTATTTAATTATTGTGACTGGGAAAGGAGGAGGGCTAGTCATGGTAGTGAGAATAAACAAGAGATGGGTTTTCAAAGAGCTCAGAAAGCTAGAGGAGAAGCCTCCAGTGATTTCGTTACTGATGTTAAGTCTCAGGCAAAAGTTATACAGAATGAGAGGGTATAGAAGGATTGTTATCTGCATCTGTGGAAGACATTCCTATATACTTATGAACTATGTATGAAAGTGTATTTAATGACATTTTCTTGTCCTTAACTCTCCCTCCCTCTCCCTGCCATCTGACATCGTAGAATGCATCCTACTGTGTCCTGCAATGTTTTTTCATCAAAAAAATATGTCACCAAAATGCATCCTATTCTTGAACAGAGATATTGCAATGTCATCAAAATGGCTCCCTGTTAACTGTAGTCCCACTAGAGAAAAGACTTATTTCCTTTGGAAGCAGGTAAAGAAATTTCACATCTCATGTTGAAACAAAATCAGAAACATTATCACATCTAGGAAACAAAGTTGGGGGGAAATGGATACATGTTCTACCTGCTTCACAGTTACTTGCAGTTATTAGTAGAATTTTTCCAATTCTCCCCCACTTCCTTGTTTAATGCTTCATTTCGGACTTACCTGCTTGAAGGAAGAACAGCATAATGATCACAGAAAAAATTATCCTCACCATCCTCGTCTCTGAAACCTAAATCAGAGAAAAAGTCAAACCTGACAAATAATATTCCATCCTGTAGAAAAGTCAAAAAGGAGTCATTTTGGCAAATTTCTCTTAAGATAATTTGTCCTCAAATGGAAACAACAGGTCACATTGTACATTTCAGTTTCATTATCCATGAAGGCAGTTTTTTGTTTTTTTCCAGAGAGAAAAACCATGTAAAGTTAATTGACTGAAGAAAAAAAAAAGTTAGGCCTCCTTGTTAAAAAGCTACCTTTAAGTAAGTTTGTTGAACAGTAGAGGAGTTATTTAAATGTAGGAAGGGAACTGGCAAGGGAGCTTTATAAAGAACCCATTTCAGTCACTCCTGACATAGCTTGTCTCTGCAGCAAGCCTCAAAAGGACTGTGGCTGTGGGTCATTTGGAGCCTAGGTTCTTCAAAATGAAGAAGAGTGAAACCTCTGTTATAACAGTTTAAAAATGGAAGAATTGGTAAGATCAGTCTCTGGGCTGTTACATTCCAAACCGTTTTTTTTTTAAACACTGAAATTCTACCTCCACCAACTGAAAGAGAACCCAATAATAATAGCAGCATGTGTGTATATAGCATTTTAAAAGTTTGTAACAAACACATAATTTTTGCAAGTTACTTTTTTTAATAATGAAATTTTACCTGTACATACCCCATCTGCCAGAGACATATTGGGCTTTAAAAATGTAATAGTTATGTCTTTAACTTATAATTAAATATAATGCAACAAAAAGCTGTGGTTCTGATGGTGTCAAAACTTCCTCCAGCCATGCAAATCATATCCTGCCCGTCACTTGCAGACTTAAAAGATTTCCTAAAACTCAGACAGATTAAGTGATTTCATCATAGGAGGATATATAGGATACATATATCCTATATATATAGGATAGGATTTAGAGCTAGATGGTTTTGAGAACATTGAAATCTACCTACACACCTCATTTTACAGGTGAGTAAACTGAGGCAAAGAGAGATTAAGTAAATTACCTTAAGTTACACAGGTGAGATTTGATCCATTTGCATTGTATTTATGCAAAGTGGCATTCTTAGTATTGACAATTATAAAATCAAAATATTGATCATCTCTGAAAAATGTTGAAGATTGTCTACATCCTGCATCAAATATTCCACCAAGATTTAATTCTTTATGTAAAAATAAATAAGCACATCCATCTCAGTATGCAAATTTGCTTTTGTCTTTAATAAATGGTAAAGTTATATGTATACCAAAGAACTGTTTTAAGATAAATTTCTTTGTGATTTATTATCAGTAGATGTTTGATTTGTATACTTATTTTATATATCTATATACCTGGGGTCACATAAAAATTTCTTGGGCAAAAAGGGGTCATGAGTGGAAAAAGCTTAAGAAGCCCCTGCCCTAGTCCAGTCTCTGAGTGTGAGTTAAATACAAGGTACCAATTTTTATTGGTAGAGTTTCTTCACTGAGAATTCCCTGTAACAATGAAATAATGGGCCTATTCCCTATACCAACAACCCCTACCAAAAAATTAACAGGATATCAATTTTTTTTTCCAGAAAATAAAAACAGTGGACCACATTCTGTCTAGCATCCCGAACATTAGTCAGGTATGAATACCAATAAATCTTAATTTCTCTCTCCTGAGATCACCTTATACAGAATATCTTCCATATAGACAAGAACTAGAATTAGTAGTACAGAGGACCGAGGTCACATGGGAAGTAAATAGCACAGCCTAGATTGGAACCCAGATATTTTGACTCTGAAAGGAGGAAGTGAGGTGAGAGCAAGGGTGATGGACTGCAAAAAGAGGGAGGGAACAGCAGGTGTGTCACAAGGAAGTTCGCCTAAAGCTTAGCTTTAGGAGGAGTGAGGAAGAAGGATCATAAGATCATAAATAGAGAGCCAGAGAGTTCCTGTTGCTGGCCTGGCCCAAATCAGTCTAGCCTGGTACTTCAGGTTCTGAATGAGAAACTTGTAGTCTACCTAGTAGTTAACAAAAGGATGTCTGCTTATCCATAACAGGGAAATGATACTCAGCAAAGATGCATTATTGATTCACTTAAGCAACGCTTCCCTGCCTCCGTATTAACCATGCTGGTCTTCCAGTCAGAAGTCCTAGTTAAAGCTGCTGACTCTTCATGTGTTGGATTTTTGTACCTTAAGCCACCAGGAAGCTATGCCAATGACTCAAGCCTTAATCCCTTGAGTTCATTAAGTCTCAAAATGGCTTTAATACTTCTCAAGGAAAAACCAGTGTAGCCTACATGGTAGATATTGCTTCTGCCAGAGAAACCCTACAGTCTACTCCCCTCATTTTACAGAAAAGATCACGGAGGTCCAGAGAAGTGTAAGTGACTTGCCCAATGTCAAGCAGGTAGGTTGACCTGAGGCCTTCTGATTTCAGAGCCATTGTTCTTTCCACTGCACCACTCTAGAGAAGTAGGAAAATGAGATCATGATCAGAAGGGAATTTCAGAGTTTCAGGATCACAAAAGCAGAGCAGTGAGTTATAGGTGATGATAAGATGTAAGGTGATCATCCTTGGGTTGCCTGAAGTAGAGAGAAGATATGGTGCATAGGAGCTGAGGAGGCAGATGAATTGAGAAGCCACAATGCTTGACCAATATACATTAACATTTATATTGAAACTGTCACTAATGAGGGCATAGAGCAAGGACTCCTTGTGAAAAAAAGGAAGTGACCTGGAATCTAGTAGATTAACAGCAAAACAAACAAACAAACAAACTTGGACAAGGTGATATAGACAGATGGAGGGAATCTCAACAGAAAAAAAGGTCCTGATTGATGGTGGTAGAAGAAGAGTCTAGAAGTAACTCAGTGTGTCTTGGGCAGGTGAGGAACACAATATTGGACAGGGTGATCAGGTTATATAGTATCTTCCAGGGCAAGCAAAATTTCTGTGAGCATAAGAAAATGGAAAGAATGTGAGAGGAAGAAGTCTAGGATGAAGGAGAGCTTGTATTTGAGGGGAAGGGAGGTTTCTAGAGGACACAATGGAAAGGAAGGGCAAAAAAGGATAGGGGCTATAGAGGAGGGGTAATGCATTATTCCTCTCATAGGGATGAGAACTCAGAGAATGATAGTAGAGAAGGAAATTTTTTGTTTTTGTTTTGCACTGACAAGATGGCAGATTTCGAATAATAGGGATTGGAGGAAGAATAAGAAATGGGATTTTGTCTACAAAATAGGGAAGTGCTAGTGGCCTGGTGTCCCTGTGCTCCAGGGAGAGGGGGGATGTGGGCTGGGAGAGTAATGTAATTTTATTCTTTCCTCTTCCCTTCCATTCCCTTCCCTTCCCTTCCCTTCTTTTCTCTTTTCTTCTCTGTTTCTCTCTTTCTCCACTAGGACATTGGGGGAGGGGGCAGTAAGAAGTATAGGAAGTCCATTCAAGGTATTCAAGGCAGTACATATGAAGGTCTAACTGAATTCACACTCCACTCTATTTCCTTTCATTCATCTAGAATGTGGCAGGGTACAATATGCAGTCATGATTGTTAACTATTCATATTTTAGAAATTTATAATCCATGAATTAGGTATACCTACTTCATGCTTTTAGGTAAAAATGAAGAGAAATGGTTCATAAAGCAAGAAGCATTTAGAAACAGCTCGGGGAAAATGTTCTGAGTAGCAGAAGATAACATTTTGAGTTCTATAAACCCAGGCATCTTCCTTATCTTAAATTTTAAAAAAATGACTGAATAAAAATATAGTATGTCTATCATTATGGGCACCTAGATTCATATACTGCAGCATGGGGATACTGAGTCACATTTTGGATGCTGTTCCTCTCCCCCTTCCCCCATTTCCTTTTCTAGCAGACATGGTGATGCCAGAAAATTTTAAAGTGTATAATCTTCATTTTTCATTGGAAGCATCAAAAGTGTGGTTAAACACAAGCTATGATACTCCTCAGTAGAGGTGAGGTTTTCCTATGAAGATCACCCCTATAGTCTTCTTTTGACAATGAAGGATGAATAAAATGATTTTGAAACTGCAGTAGTATTGTCAATGATTTTCAAGGCTGGATTTCAGGTTTGGAAAATCCTTTCCTATTCCAGACTCTTAGAAGTGTGCTGTCTAGAAGTCATTGATCCACTCTTAAGCCTTGTATGTTGCTTTGATTTTTGTTAGTCAAGCCAGAAATCCCTAACTAGCATCTCAATTCAAAAGATACCCATCAGTAACTTTTTGAACAGCACAGATTTCCAATCATCCCTAGCCCTCAAAACACATGTCTAATAATAGTTTGATTATAAGAATTGAAATTCTTCTCCTTTCCCTCCCCTCCTCTCCACAATCCTTCCCTTTCCATCCCTTCCCTTATTTTCCCCCAATTACATGTAAAAACAATTTTAACATGTTTTTAAAAAAATTTTGAGTTCCAAATTCTATTCCTTCCTTCCTCCCCACCAACCACCCCGGACAGTAAGCAATCTGATATAGGTTATATGTGTACAATCATGTAAAACATTTCCATTTTAGTAATTTTGTACGAGAAGACTCAGAAAGAAGGAAGGATGCAAGGAAGAAAGGAAAGGAAGGAAGAAAGAAATAAAGGAAGAAAGAAAAAGTGAAAATGGTATTCAGATAACATCATTTCTTTCTCTGGAGGCAGACAACATTTTTCATCATGAGTCCTTTGGGATTGTTTTAAATCATCGTATTGCAGAGAATAGCTAAGTCATTCACAGTTGATCATTATGCAATATTGCTGTTACTGTGTCTAATGTTATCTTGATTCTGTTCACTTCATTTTGTGTCAGTTCATTTAAATCTCTCCAGGTTTTTCTGAAATCATCTTGTTTATAATTTTTGTAGCACAATAATATTCCATTACAATCATATACCACAACTTGTTCAGCCATTCCCTAATTGATGTGTATCCCCTCAATTTCCAGCTCTTAGCTGCCACAAAAAAGAGTTGCTATAAATATTTTTGTACAGATTGGTCCTTTTCTCCCTTTTTTATCTCTTTGAGATACAGCCCTATCAGTGGTATTGCTAGATCAAAGGGTATACACTATTTTGTAGTCCTTTGGGCATAGTTCCAAATTGCTCTCCAGAATGGTTGGATCAGTTCACAATTCAACCCACCTTAGTGATCTAGTTTTCCCACATTGCTTCCAACATTCATCATTTTCCTTTTTTTTTATGTTAGCCAGTCTGATAGGTGTGAGGTGGTGCTTCAGAGTTGTTTTAATTTGCATTTCTCTAATCAATAGTGATTTAGAGCAATTTTTCATAAGACCATAGATAGCTTTGATTTCTTTGTCTGAAAATCACCTGTTCATCATATCCTTTGACCATTTATCAATTGGGGAATGACTTGTCTTCTTATAAATTTGACTCAGTTCTGTATATATTTGAGAAGTGAGGCCTTTATCAAAGATACTTACAAAAAAAATCTTCCTGGTTTTCTGCTTTCCCTCTAATTTTGGTTGCATTTGTTTGGTTTGTGTAAAAACTTTTTAATTTTATATAATCAAAA